CCTAGTTCCACGCCCCCTGGTGCAGACACGAGGATGTCGAATTATAAAGTTATAAATATTACGGCTGGATCATGACCTACCAACTACCCTACTTCTTGTATATAACATTTACAGGCACATTTTTGAATTTAAAAGTGAAATACTCGATTCATATTACTCGCAGAAGGCCTATGAGTATTTCTTACTGGTGAATAACGCAGCATCCGTAACTTCGTAACTTTGAGATAACTCGGTCGCCCACTGCTCTGATGATCTTTGCGAAGTAAATTTCATGGCTTCAGTATCATAACACACAGCAGGAAAGATTTATTGTGGCTAAAACTAACCTACACAATAATCAAGAAAATTGTACTTTTAAAAACATTAGAATCTCAACGTATTCCTACACTCGACACCACACAGTATCAAACACACTGGTCGACTGTTCAGTCGATTATCGACGCTTTATCACTAAAGAGGTTATAACGACAAACGGAATACGACGTTAAATAACGAGGTCGTGGCCTGTTTTAAGGGACTGAGGATGAATGATGGTAATATCAGAGAGAATAAAGCCGAGCGCCGAGATTCGAGCCCGGAATCCCAACGTGTTCATCACTCGACTGCGACATTCAGTTAGAAAATCATTTTCCGGGCACATTACTTCAAAAGCTTTATTTCAGCGTTCGTCTAGCCTAACCGCAACAGGCCAAACTGTGTCCTCCGAGGATCGAACTGACGTCTCCCGTTTCGAAATTCGGATGTTCCGAATGTCGGTGTCCAGCGGACGGCCTTTTCAGGGAAACAGAGCGATAGTTCAATAAGATCATCGCTTACTCCTGCATGCACCACTACGATTCGTACGTCATTAAACATCGCGCGGTCTCCGCTGACGGCTATTTAATAACACTGTATCAACTGCAGAAGCCACTTAGCACTGAATGAGTTCTAGACATGAAAGAAGTAACCTGGGAGCCAGTGCGTAGAAGCTTACCAGCATTTCGGAGGTACTTGCTGTCTCCATCATCAGGGCGATGGTAAACTTCTACCAGACTACACGGCGCTACAACCCAGAAGACCATCGTGAGAACATCAAATCCTACGTACTCCCTCGAGTTTCGCCTTTAACGAGTGGTTAAGACGACGAGAAGCCGCGCCATGTTAGCTGGCCGAGCGCGGATCTTGAGTACAAGCCAGTTAGTTGTCTTAAGACTGAACGAACATGTTCAGTATCTCAGCTGTTGGTAGATCATCGCTGAATAACCCATATAGCGGGCAGTAAAAGTAGCGTTATCGATTATACTAGTGCCGCTAAAATGTACAGTTCCAGGTTTTGTATTTGAAAGAGAAAAACTCCGTTCTGCCTGTGTATTAGTATTCATTTGTGGAATCCCCATTGCACGGTTCAGTAAATGCGGACGCAGAGCGAAACCTGCTAATCGCGAAACCAAATACGCGGTCGTGTTCTGTCCTGATACGAGTCCGATATTACCCGAATTTCACTACTGCAGTGTGATGATACGGCGGGTAACCGAACTACAGGGGCAAACCGATCGCACGGGACGTGACATCACGGAACATCCCGACGCACGACGCACGAAGACAGTCAGAACTGGCGAACGTCGAAGAGAACGCAGAAACCCATTAGCGCTCTCCACCTCCGTCGGCGATTTTATCAAAAGATGAGGGCGGGAAGGAAACACGAAAGACGCGTAAACAGTAAAATAAAGCAAGGACGTGCGACAAAGAAAATACACAAACAGGAAAGAGAGGAAGGAAATTATGATCGAGAAAGGACGAAAATAGTTGAAGAAGAAGAAGAATAATAAATAAAGAAGTGGAAAACGCATCTCGAGCCTCATACGCGTTGCTGACAGCACTGGGGGTAATATTTATAGCGATTCTCGGCGTCTCCAGACGAATTCAGAAACAGGTAACAGCATCTCCGTTCAAGTCTGGACGAGGCAGACGGAAGGACTTCCAGGCAACAATCATTAAAAAAGCAAGACGAAAGTCTGGACCAATGCATGATGTAGTACGGCATTTTACACGTCTCGATTTCCGAGTTTTTCGTAATTTTATTACATATTTGAAGTCTTAAATGGCTGGTTAACCAAATTTCGAGCATGAGAAACGCTCGTTATCCGAATAGTATTTAATATTTTAATTCCTAGATCGAATCTTACCGACACGCTATAACATACGTAAACATATTTCGCTAAAATGTTGTGTGCACTGTCATGAACAGCACCACAGTCACGTGCGTACACTAATGTCAAATCCGAAACAATTAAGAATCAAATTGTTTCGAAGGAAAACACGATCTTCTATAATGTACAGAACGGAACAAAATCCATGCAACTTCAGTAAAATCTCTGCCGTATAAAATTTAGGTTTTTGAGTATGAAACCGAATATCAAGTGTTTATGGTTTATCTTGAAAAACATTTTCGACCTACACGAGACTAATATTGTCTTATGAATTATCTTAAGAAAGAACAAGCTAAGTACAGATCTACTTTAAGATGTATTTGCTCTTGATGATGGGTGTCAGATGGAACTTATCATGACGCTAACTGACTGATGGAAGATGATATTAAAATGTATCTTAAAGAAGGAGGTGTGGGCGTGTGGACCTTATTCGTCTGCAGGCTCTTTTGGACAGGGTATTTAAAGTCAGAGGTTATTCTGAGCAGCTCAGTGAATAAACGTTTTTCAAAGAACACTTTCCTGCATTAAGATACGGCATCATAAAAAGCATTACTAACCAATCGCTGTGAAGAAGCCTCTACAAGCAAAGTTTTGTATTCGGGAGAAACTGAATTACATTTTCACGTTAAACCACAAAACCGCGAAAACAGAAGTTTCTCTAATTACTTTCATCTCCTCCGGTGCTGTTGTCAGTTGGTACAGTACACGATAACGAAAAATCAACAAAAATGCTCAGAGTTTATATCGCAGAATCATGTTGTGTTTTCGTACTGGTCATTATTCAATTTTACACAATTTTTTAGTGTTTGTATTTTATTTTAAAAATGCATTTGTTTATTTTTGCAATTACACTGTTATGTCATTTCACTGACACAATGATCTGGCGTCAGAGTCAGTTACGGTTGAATCGAATAATAAACTTGTTTAAGTTTAAACGTAAATTACATTCATGAAATCCAGTGTAAGTAATTTGACGCCCTGATTACGTAACAGGTACAGTCCAAACAGCTGAACTGAACACACAGACGTTGTGGTCTCTTAATTTGGAGAACCGCGTTCGGACACCGAAGTGTTTCCTACCAAATCATTTCAAACTTCTCAACCTATATATGTCACAGAGGGTTCAGCAACCTGCGGTCCTCCAGTAAGTGACCCGGTCACTACACCGACTGCTCTGTCCGCCATTCACGAATTCGTTTGTGCTCATAAAATACGTAGTTAAATTGTAAAATGATCGTCCCTATGTAATGTTCATCAGCTATGTTCCGAAGATGGATGCATTCTGGGTTGTAAAGCCGTGTAATATCGCAGAAGTTTATTCATCACCCTGACGATGGTGGCAGAAAGGACTTCTGAAACGTCGGTAAACTACACGGCGCTACAACTCAGAAGACAGCCATCTTTACACTTCAAACCCTACTACGCTATGCTCATTTTATCGCGTTAGAAATACAATTTGCTTTTCGAAATGCTACTTTTACATTACGAGGAAATGTCGTTCATAAATCCACGCGATTTACATTTTAAGATTCTGTCCAAACTGCATATTCGCTCTACTAATCTACACAAAATATTTTTACGTTTATTATTTGTCTCCCTAAACGGTAGCTGTTACGTCAGCATTACTTTTTTCGGATGGTCAACTGTAAAATAGTCAAATGGGAATGCACAAGGCGGATGGAACTCATAGTTCTTGCTGAACTTGGCGCGCGGCCACGTCAGAATAAAGTCCACGCGTGCAGTACTAACCACATTAATAATAATAATAATAACAAGCTTCAAGAGCTGCTGCCCAATTATCCGGTAACCATTTTCACATGCATTCTTACCCATTACTTATTTAATCTGCAACTAATTTCCTTGCGCGCGGCTACTTCTAAGTCAGGTGTTAAAAAAACCATTTCCTATTTCAATGGCATCCCGAGATTCCACATCGATAGTCATTACATTGTAACATTAACAGCTGAACATGTAAATGATTATGACTAGAGTCAGGTTTGATTTCTGACTAATTCGTGAGTAAGTTCTTGACAATCGCGCAAATCATGTCCCCAGGTACTAGCAACCCCATTTTAATACGCGGTGAACTAAAGGAGAAATGACTCCCTTTCCAACGTTCGCGAGTGCTGCCTCTTTCGTGTTCTGCAGAAACATAATTGGGATACAAGCATAACAACCATTTCAGTGAAACGTTTACACCAGACCACAAACACATTCTTCCTATCCTATAAATTCCCTGCCCGCAAACCAACGAGCTGTATTATCGAAAAATTAGACGGAGGCTACTGACATTTCCATGTCATCAACACCGCTTTCGTCTCGCCTATTAGAACTTGTGCCCGTATTAGTAGCAAACAGATTTGCTGTGTGAATCCATAACCTCACCCAACCACTAATTAACAAGCTGTCAATCTGTATCTTCAACACACACGTGATTAACAGCGTATAAGAAAGAACTTAAGACGGGAACGCGGGCATCAAAAAATCCATTTTGTTAACACTAATTTATTTATTAGTTACCAACATCAAAAGTAAAGCCATCTGTTTCGTGCAGAAATTAACCATCTGACATAAAAAACAGTAATTAGAGAGAGTTAAAAATAATGTACGGAGCAATAAATATCTTAATAGCTGTAACGGACATGAAGAGGCAAGTTCCCGGCACCAAACAAGACTTTTACGTCATATTTCCCACGGGTCAGGCACTGGGCGTCAGTTACGACTCGTCCCTGATGCACAGACAACCACCAACACGGCAAGAAGTCTCTGCCCGCCTTAACTTTATTACACAGAGAAGCTAATTTAACAGACCTGTTTCCACATTCCTCGCCCCTGTGACGGTTGATAACTCTTGGGCACGAAGGCTGGTTCTCCTAACACGTGTGGTTAACACAGCCTCTAACTAATGTGGTAACGTAGTCTAACAGCGAAGTCGTTTCGCGCGCAGAGCCGAGCTCAACACCGGCCACATCGAACGCCGCGCACACACTGAGGCGACACCTGCATTCAAACTGGGCGAGCGAGCGAGCAGCTAAAACGAATTCTCACCCCCATCGCCAGAATAAAAAAATTCCATCACCCACAAAGCGTTCGATGTCTCTGTCTCTCTCTCTCGCTGCGTGTCTCTTTCCCCTCCATTCCCCCCTCATCACTTCGCCGTCAGCCGCCCCCCTGACATTGGTAGTATCGTGACTTGCTCCGCTGCAGTTTTGATATGGGGACGGGGGAAGACTCTGTACCCGTCGCCACGGACGGAGCAAATGCCACCACAACAATTTTTCTTTCCTGTCCGGGCCTATTGCCCACTTCAACTGCTGACATCTAAGTCTCCTCGTCAAGCCGCTTATGACCAAAGAATTATTTCAGCGAGATGTAAAGTTGCGTCATATTGTGCTAAATATATATTTGTTTAAATCTTATCAGTCTAATCACAATAAAATTCCTATTAAAAATATTAAAATATTACCATAATTAACATTTAAATATTTAAAATATATTAAATGATATTCTCTATCGAAATGTTCGATTTACATTAGAACATCACTTTTTCATTTTTATTAAAAATTTTATTGTGATTAGACTGACAAGATTTAAACAAAAAGTATTTCAGTGGTTTGAATCTTGTCCGGGGCATGAACACGTGTTGTGCCACGAGAAAATCGTTCTACTCGTCGCCATAAGCCCCGGGGGTTGAGTCCCAATAGAAATTCGGAGGGGTTTCTGAGGACTGACCAATCTCCTTACGCCATGATGAAAACGGCTGTCTTCTGGGATGTATTGCCGTGCAGTCAGAGGACCCTACTGTCTTCATCGTCAGTGCATGCCACCAGGGTAAGGTACTCGCTGCAGCTTAGTGGGCCCTGTCCCGTTGTACTACGCACTGAGCACATCGGCGAAGGTCACACCGACTGACCTTTAGCTTATTTAGTAATGACAAATTTGTTGATTTTAAAGACGTCGGAAGAGATCAATGCTGGAGGCTCTCGACGAGTGGGTAATGACCTGTTTTATAAGTTCCAGTGCTAATTTTTACCTATTTTACGATACTGTAACACCGAGAAAGGTCAATTTGAGTTTTACACGAGCGACGACTAATTTTTATCGTACTGAACGGTAAGCCATCTTGCTCGCAGAGGTCTCACGACGCCAAATGGAATAAATGGCGAATAGTGAAGGATCCAAATTGCTTCGGAAACACAAACAGTTCACAGCAATTAATTGTTCATTATTCAATGCTTGTGCAGGTCTGCATCAACTTAGAACGATGCGAGAAGTTCACCGTCAACGGAGCGTAGCCACGGCCAATTTGATTGGCACTGTGGTGGAACTGAGTAAAACTGCCAACTAGGTGTGATTTGTCCCGTTGAAGGGATCCATGAGTCGTGTTCAGTTTAAACTGAAGGCTGACGCTGCCAAGAGTTATAGACGCCGGCAATGGACAGACGCCGCTAAGTATCGAACTGAGTGAGAGTTCAGTACGCTACAGGCCTACAGACTGCATCGAGGCCGAACCTTCAAACTCGTCCTGAAGTCGAGTTCATTGCGCTACAGGCCTACAGACTGCATCGTGGCCGAACCTTCAAACTCGTCCTGAAGTTAGGAGGATACGTTTTTCTCTTGGCGTTGATAAGAATTGCAAAAAATAGCTCTTCCACAAACCCCTTCCAGCGGTGACTATTTCTGTGCCTCTCCGCGCTCAAAACCACACCACCTGGGCGGCAGTTAACTTGACACTACAGGGTGTTTAAAAACACGTCGTTTTACAAGTCCGCCGTATGTTCATACAGCATACGCGGACATTTGATAGGCGTGCCAGTCAAGCTATTAACAACAGTGCTCAAATTTGGGACAACTTAAATATTCGATATGAAATGGCATCCTTGGACATATTTTGAAGTTCACTGCAGATACAAATAAGTTGGCAGAACTGCTTAACTGCACACACATCACAATGAATGCTTGCAATGTGTACACTTCACTACACTAATAAATAGCAGAGGTATTGCACAGAACGGAGGTTATAAACACTTCGTCTTCGTTTAGTTAAGTATAGAATCATAGATCATGATAATTTTTTCAAATACAAGGCGTGATGACACTGCTTAAGTCGGGTTACGATTATTTTAAGTCTCTGTTACTGTCTTTGCAACGGATTGTTTACGAAAAATGTTATGAAGTTTCGTTCCTCGCTCTTGTAGCTCTTTGTAGACTCTTTGCGTAGACACGTACATTAGTTTTAAACATAAAACAAGCGGGCAGAAGGAGAAATACATTAGAACGACCTCGCCATGAAGCTCTCGTTTCACCGTGTACTTACAGAGGGCGTGTGAGAGTGTAATCGTCTTCCATCGTCTACAGAGCAGTCAAAAGACGCAGATCCTAACAGCAGCAGAAGCGACGACGTACGTGGAAAACGTCTGTACGTAAGTTTTAAAATGTTTCTCGTTTCCTTCCAATCTGAGATACAATTAATTGGCTGTAGCCGAACATTAGTTTCATTCAAACCATTTTCGAATTAGGATCTTCATACAAGTCTAAGAGATCTTATCATTCGCGTAGGATTCTGGCAACGCGTTTAACGACGCAGTGTAGGCGTACAGCCAGTAGCTGTGGCTGCGATATGCGAAGTTCTTCTTGCTGTTACGACTCCGTTTTGGTCCTCATCAGGGCGCCCTGTCGCTTGTCCTAACAATAACCGAACAAACGTCAACACCACGCGACGGCAAGAATCAATCCGGTGGGTTTTAGCGTCACAACAAAGACGCAGCTTCATTTCGTCTGCAACTAATACTTTCAGTCTATTTAACGACGCTACTTCAACTACAGACCTCATCTTAAAACCTTGCATACCGTGCAGTGTATTGATATATAAAAATCATGCACACGATCAAAACTGTTTACAAATTAAATAGCACTTTGTGCCATTTTTAACGCGTTTCGACCTCAAGATGTCATCATCAGTGACAAAAACATTCATTCATTGGTATTATTTAATGTGTACACAGTTTTGACTGTATGCATGAATTTTATGTAGACCTTATGTAATATTCACTGGATCTTAGTTTGTCTTCAGGTGAAACGTAACGGGGGGGGGGGGAGAACATCTACCCTGCTGGATACGGCGGTAGGATCTTATCTGCGAGAGATAATGCACTATTACAAGTGCAGGGGCACTTCGATCCGGAACAGGGGTTTGGCAAGAGCAAGACTGGACAAAGGAGCTCAAATCAAATAATAAGACCAAAATAAAGTAAAAATCAGGAATTTAAAATGCATAAACCAATTCTAATTCGCATAAAAACTACAATAGGACCTCGTTCCCACGGTGGTCTAGCGGTCAGAACGCTGGCCTTGTAATCCTGGGGTCTCGGGTTCGATTCCCGGCGGTGCCCGAATTTATAACTTGTGTTGGGCAAGGCCGTGGTCTAGGCAACACGTAGTTTTCCTCCGTGGCATCCCAACAATTACTCCATTCACACACAGAAGAAGGCAATGGCAAACCACTTCTGGATCATCTGCCAAGAACGTATATGAACAGGTCCCAGTCCGAGAAGAGAAAAGGATGGAAGGATCCTGTTCATATGGACCTGTCGTCAGACAGAACACTAAATAAAAAATAAAGACCAGGTCGTATAATACTCGCCATGAAGTGATATGGACGGTCGAGATTACTCTTAACTCAGTCTGACATTAATGTCTCTGGAAGTCAACGATGATAAAATTGAGCCCAAGAAGATCACGGACCTACACACCGTTTTGAGATCCCGTGTTCTTGACTCCTTCTGACCTCCTCCCTAACAACCGGCTACAATTCGGTTGCGAACTTCCGGCGCGTCACGTGGGCAGATTGCTTACACTTCCTCTGAACGGACTTCACTTCATCCCGGTCCATACGGTGAGTTCGTTTTGATATCTCCAGCAATTCTTGTTTTAGAATTTGTTTGTGTTCGTAACTCCAAGTTCTGACGGTCTGCCCGTTCCTTCTGTATATCTTTGCCCACACTCACAGAGAGAACTGTAAATACACTTTGTTACTTGCAGAGTCCTGATGCTTTGTTTGGTTCCTGTGAGTCCATCACGTTGAGTGTGTTTTGTCTTAAAAGTACTCCTGGTGTTATATTTTCCCCTATTCCTTAAAAACAGACAATGGATAAAGTCCAGAAGAAATAAAGAAAGTGACATAATACAAGACGATCGCCAAAGTCGTTCAGAGAAAAATAATAACGAAACAAATGAATAAACAAAATGCCTTTAGTTAACAGCATTCAGTTTTGGCTCAGCGTAATTCTTTAGCAGGTCGTCGGTCTCTCTTTGTTTGTCTCAGGCACTTCACAGAATCCATAAACCCAGCCCGCCCTCAAAAACTGAGTAAAACTATAAAATCCCTACAGCAATTGGAAACAGCATTCTTCCACATTACAAAAGTGCCTTCCCCGTGTGTGAATTATCTCTAAAATAAATTTTAAATCGTGGATAGGCCTACACGTGTTCATTTACGTGACTGTTCGCTTACAACTGGAGAATGGATAAACCGATTTGCTCCATACTTGGCGGAAGTTCGACTCCCTACACAGGCAGAGGATTTTTCCTCTAGCCTCTGCGTCCAGACCGGCTCTGGGGCCCACCCAGCCTCCTATCCAATGGGTACCGGGGTCCTTTTCCCGGGGTGTGACGCTGACCACTCAACCCTATATAGGGCCGAGGTTAAGAATGAGTAGGAGCTACACACAGCTCTCCCCCCAAGCGCCACATGACGTTCAGCGGGACAGCATTACTGTTTTCTTACAGCTCCATATTCGCAGTCCTCGTCACTAATCTTCAGTTCAAAATACTCTCCAGGTCGTCCTGTTCTGAAACAGCCTCGCAGACCGTCAGGGAACAATTATTAGGACGTTGCCAGTCCTTAGGCACACGGCGTACCTAGACAGTCCGATCACCTCGTGTGTATCCAGCTGCAAATCCAATTGCATTCCAACCGGGGGATGTGAGACGACTCTCT